GACTTATAGGTAAGGTCCTGGGGAGTGTTGCTGAACAAAGAGACCTTGGAGTACAGGCTCATAGTTCCTTGAAAGTGGAGTCACAGGTAGACAGGGCGGTGAAGAAGGCATTTGGTATCTTGTCTTTATTAGTCAGTGCATTGAGTATGGAAGTTGGGAGGGTCATGTTGTGGCTGTACAGGACATTGGTTAGGCCACATTTGGAATACTGTGTGCATTTCTGGTCTCCGTGCTCTAGGAAGGATGTTGTGAAACTTGAAAGAGTTCAGAAAAGGTTTACAAGGATGTTGCCAGGGTTGGAGGGTTTGAGCTACAGGGAGAGGCTGGGGTTATTCTCCCTGGAGCGTCAGAGGTTGAGGGGGTGACCTTATAGAGGTTTATAAAATCATGAGGGGCATGGAGAGGGTGAATAGCCAAGGTCTTTTTCCCAGGGTAGGGGAGTCCAAAACTAGAGGGGCATAGGTTTAAGGTGAGAGAGGAAAAATTTAAAAGGGACCTAAGGGGCAACTTTTTCACACAGAGGGTGGTGCGTGTACGGAATGAGCTGCCAGAGGAAGTGGAGGAGGCTGGTACAATTACAACATTTAAAAGGCATCTGGATGGGTACATGAATAAGAAGGGTTTAGAGGGATGTGGGCCAACTGCTGGCAAATGGGACTAGAATAATTTAGGATATCTGGTCAGCATTGACGAGTTGGACTGAAGAGTCTGTTTCCGTGACTCTATGAACCAGAGGATCAGCCACAATCATCCCGAAGGGCAGGACAGGCTCGAGGGGCTGAATGGCCCCACCTCTTGCTTCTCCTCTGCTCCAGACATTGGGTTAAGCTCCAAGTTCCTTGTGCTGCAGGATCTTGCAGAACTGGAGGTCTTTACACTTGAGCAAGGTGGATGGGACAGTGCGAGCAGCGGTGCTGTTACAGGGAGCATACAGGGAGCTGACTGTCAGCTCACCCTCATGTTTACAGGAGCATTGTGTGTGGGTCCAAGTCTCCTTATCTGAGGAAGGATGTTCTGGCTATGAAGGAAGTGCAACAAAGATTTACCAGACTGGTCCCTTGGATGGCAGGACAGACATATGAAGAGAGACTGGATTGGTCAAGAGTATATTCACTGGAGTTGAGAATAATGAGGGTGGGAAATCTCACAGAAACCTGTAAAATGCAAACAGGGCTAGAGAGGACATAGCAGAGAGTCCAGAACCAGGGGGTCACAGTCGAAAGATACAGGGAATGTCATTTCGGTTTGAGATGAGGAGAAATATCTTCACCCAGAGAGTGGGGAGCCTGTGGAATTCTCTGCCACAGAAAACGGTTGAGGCCAAAACATCGAATGTTTTCAAGAAGGAGTTAGATATAGTTTTTAGTGCTAAAGGGATCAAAGAGTATGGGGGAGAAAGCGGGAACAGGGGACTGAGTTGGATGATCAGCCGTGATCCTATTGAAGGGTGCAGCAAGCTCGAAGGCTGAATGGCCTATTCCTGCTCCTATTTTGTATGATTCTGGCAGGTTCCTTTAACAGGACTGTCATTCCTGAGATGGAGGGAGAAAATTAAAAATAAACTGTGCTTTCTGTAACACTATCCAGGAACGCAGAAAGGGGCTGGATTCAAAATGGGGGAGGGGTCAATGGAGTTTTGGCAAATGATGGGGGAGAGTAAGGGTTATTTTAAAGGTGATTTACCTAGGCCAGCAATAGGGTTAGGGGTTAGGGTTAGCATGGGTTAGGGTTAGTGTTAGGGTTAGGGTTGGGGTTAGAGGATGGGTGTAGGTGTTGGGGTTAGGGGTTAGGGTTAGAATAGGTTAGGGTTGGAGTTATGGATTGGGGTTGGGGTTAGGGTTAAGGGTTAGAGTTAGGGGTTAAGGGGTGAGGGTCAGGGGTGGGAGTTAGGGTGTGGGAGATTATGGGGTAAGGGTTAGGGGTGGGAGATTATGGGGTGAGGGTTAGGAGTCAGAGTTAGGGCGTGGGGGTCAGGGGTGGGAGTTAGGTTGTGGGGAATTATAGGGTGGGATTAAGGGGTGAGGTTTAGGGATTATGGGATTGGGGTTGAGGTTGGGTGTTAGAGGTGTGGGTTGGGGGTGGTGACTATGGATTGGGAGTTAAAGTTGGGGTTAGGTTTAGGGGTTGGAGTTGGGGGTTAGGGTTTAGGGGGTTAGAATGGGTTTTCTGTGACCATTGCAAATGTATTTGCTCCCCACCAAACCCTTCCCCTCCCTCCCTCTCTCTCCCTCCCCCCCTCCCAGGGCCCAAATTGTACGTTGGTGTCTGAACATTCCCGAAGTGACTGGGCATGTGTGTTTTGTTTAGGAAGTGCATTCCGTTTCCAATTGAAGCCACACTGGAACTCATGACTTCACTAGAAAAGAGCCCCTTGCGAAACTAATATGGGGGCTTATAAAATCCGTCTGCTCGGTTTCTATTGGTCACTGGTTAATTCCTGTCAGTCGCTGTTAATCACAATATTTATTAAAAACAATACAAACGCTTTACACAACCAATAAACTGCACTCAGACTTCTTCAGAGAGATTTTGTTGAGCTGCCTTGCCCAGGGCATAATTATCTGAGGTATTTGCAATATTCCAGTTTCTTTCCCTCTCTCTCTCTCTCTTTCTCTCACACACAAAGGCCCTTACACCCTCACTGCCTGAGGATGTTAAATAAATACGTCACTGTCAAATTCAAACTGGCTTTCCCATCAAGTCTTAGAGCCTGCCTTTCCCAGGCCCCCAGTACAGGCTCCAACTCTCCGCTGCAGTGTCTCCCCACATTTGTCTCAGTCTCCTTGGGATAGAGTTTTGTCCAGGCATCCCTCATCCTCAGAACAGACACAAATTCAAAGCAAAATACTGAGAAGAGGTTTTGCTCCTCCAGTTTGCATGGAGCTTCACTGGAA